CCAATAGGCTCCAACAGTATTTTTCTCATTCAAGAGAATGAAACCTTAGAATGATACTGATTCAGAAAGACATGAATGACGTAAATAGAACAGACTTCCAAAGCAGTGAGTGGGTGACTTTATCCATTTTTATTTTCAAGTCTGATTCACTATGCCGAATCCTGCTTATGTAAATAAGGCTTTCACCCAGCCTTTCATGAATAAAATTATCTTGCCCCATTTCAAGCCTGGTTTTGAAACAGAAATTGCCTTGTTTGTTCTGCTAGGCTGCAGGTAGGAAGTGTGATCCAGATTCTTCTGAATTTCTCAACAGCTTTTGATACCATTGACCATGGTATCCTTCTGGAAGGGTTGGAAGGAGTTCACTTCACTGGTTCCATTCCTATTTTACTGACTAGTACGAACATGAAGTTGAGCCAACTTCAGAGGACGGCAGAAGACCGGAAGGCCTGGAGAGAGCTCGTCCATGGGGTCGCGAAGAGTCGGACTCGACTGTGCGACTGAACAACAACAACAACCATATGGTGGTGCAGGCGCATAGTGGCTCATAGTGGCTCAGACTCATTATGTTATAGGGTTCCCCAAGGCCCTGTTTTGTCCCTCATGCTATTCAACGTCTACTTGAAACCACTGGATATTTAATACAAGTGCAAACAGTATGCTAATGTTGACAGTAAGCGTGATGATTATTTCTCCTTCTTGGCATTATCAGGTGATGCTATGGATGTTATAAACAAGTTGCCTGGAGGTGGTGATGGGTTGAATAATGGCCCAAAGCTCAGTCTAGACTAGACACAGGTGCTGTTGGTCAACCCTGTACCAAATCAGTGATTGAGGAGAAAGACTGTTCTGCATGGGATTGTAACTCTTCTTGAAAGAACAGGTTCACAGTTGGAGGTTCTAATAGACCCATGTTTACATGGGGAGGCCCAGGTCTCCGTTTGGCATGTCTCAACAGTCTCAATTGGTATTCCAGTTCCAGTCCATAGTTATGCATGCTCGAATCACATCCAAGCTAGACAGTTACAGTGTGCTCTGTGCCGGACATCTTTGAAGATCGTTTGGAAATTTCAAGATCACTTTCTGGTATGAATTACAGAGCATATATTTCACATGTGCTGAAAGATTATGTTATGTCACTTCCAAGTTCAATTGAAAGTTCTTATTAGGACCTGTAAAACCTTACATAGGATGTGATCAACCACTTTTTTTAATGAACCTGCCTAATTACTGCAGGCATCATCTGAAGCTCATAGGTTATTTGTCTCACTTATCTGAAATCAGATGGGTGGTCATGCAAAGGGGAGCTTTTTCTGTGGTGGCACCTTGGTTACAGAATGCTGTCTCTACAGGCGTTTGACAGTCATCAAATGTGCCCATCGGCACCATGTTGGGGAACTCTGCTGTAAGTGGAAAAGGCAGGGTATAAATTATTAAAATAAATAAATAAAACTCCTATGCTTACTTCCTAGTGCTCTTTGTCTAATGGTAATTTGGCCCCATGCAGATGACAGAAGCTGCAAAATAAAGATACCTGAGAAAGTCCCTGAGTATACAGAGAACTTGTAAATTAACTCCCCCCCCCCAAAAAAAAAAATCCCAAAATGTTCTGATGAGAACTGAAAATGCTCCAGTATAGACAGAATGTTGATAGCAGCTGGGAGTCATTTAAAGGAAATGAGTAGGGAAAAATCAGCCTACTCAAATAGAGGGAAACTGGCGTGAATGGGATTTGGGGGACTTTCCAAATTGTTCCTCCCTCCTACAATTCCTTGTAGGCCCTCAGTTTGCTATATTTCAGTTTCATTCATGTAGTAATTATATATTCCTTTAGAGTCTCTGTAGTTTAACAGAGGGGGGGGCACCTTTTTTATATAATGAAATTTTCCTTGCTCCAGTTCAAAGGCTCTGGAAACTTTGTACCCCTCATTCAAAGTGGTTTGCTTATTATAGTCTTGTAGGACTCTGGTGCCTGAAGCACAAGATTGTTGATTTTATAATTAGGCCACAGAGCAATTTGTGTAACAATTGAGCTCTACCTTAAAAACATACCAGGTTTATGAATCAGATTATAAGTACAGGAAAGCATTCATTAAAGCATACTTTATTCATTAAAGGATATTTTACAACTGACAATGCTATGAGGCCGCTACAACAGGATTCCATATAACGAACATGTCTATTGAGGATTTAGGCCATGTGGCTTTCCACGGGCAAAGATTTGCAGTAGAATGTGAACGATATCTTGGGAATATTTTATCATGATACCCAGGGAGAGCAGACAATAATACACTCATTGTACTACTTGCCAATAAAAGTAAACGGATAATGTCACAACTGGCAAAGTTTATTGCAAGAGTGATAAAGCTTTCGTCAAAACCATCTACTGTTAGTGTGTCTGATGGATAAGATTATGTATTACGATTACTGATTGATTGATTTGTTGGTCAATTTTAAACGGTTAACTTGATTTTAACAATTGCTATAAATTTTAAATGGATGCTAAGAATTTTTAATTGGTATTGTGGTTACTGTATTCTATTTCTTCTTGATGCAGTTCTTGGTGTTGTTTGCTAAGGCCATGAGCTAATGCAATAAGGATAATGAGGATGGTGATGATTATGATGATTTTATAATTAGGCCACAGAGCAATTTGTGTAATAGTTGAACTCTACCTTAAAAATATACCAGGTTTATCAAAGGCGTCAGAAGCCAGTCAAATGTTCCTCTATCTAGATGTAGTTCTGAAACTATCTCCATGGTGCTTCATCTCAGCTGCTTGCTCTCTCCTTACCCCCCACCCCACCACTTTTATTTTAAATATACTACTTTTGGAAAACAGGGTTGGATCCTGTAGACTCCCTGTGGAATCTTTCAGCAGTCCCTTCTGACCATGGGAATTCTCCCTCCCCTTTCTGCTCAGTAAGTGTAACTCTGTTGATGTGGAATAGGAAGTTTCACCTCTTCCTGACTGCAGCCCCCAACCCCCCAACCCCTGTGGCTTTTAGTCTGTGTGGAATCAGAAGGGACTGCTGAAGTGAGAAGAATGTGACAGCTTCCAGGCTGTAACTGAAAATTTATAATAGACCTACACTTCCTATAAGAATTAATGGAGACCCTGATACTACAAGCACTTAAGTCAGGATTTCATCTTCAGCGGTCAGGCTAGGGGGAGAGAGATGTCATGCTGCCCAGAAACTGTTCTACCTTCTGATGGTAGTTTCTACCACTACCACTGGTGTTTCTGGGTGCTAGAACGTAACAGGAGGCCAATCACAGGGTAAGGGTTATATAATAAAAATCCCTGGATTCACCAAGGACCAGGAGGCGATGTTCTCCGTCACTGTTTTCCAGAGTTCCCACTGGGGGGTGTTATACTTTCTTGGGGTCTGTGGTGGGTTCGCTCTACTCTGAGGAGGTTCTATCAGATTTGTATTCAAAGAGCTTCAGGCCCTAGTCTTATTATTTTCCAAATGCATGCTGATTTTTAAAAATTCCTTGGTTAATTTGTTTGAACATTGAAATCTGTCTCTGTACAAACACACAAGCAAAGAGGAATCTAATTAGTTCTGTGTCCCAAATGCAGCTTTGTGTTTATGTGTTTTGAGAAAGGGAACCTCCTCAGTACATAGCAAACTGCTTTTGACATGGAAAGGATGGCCAAAAAGCACTTTGAGGTGTACTGTAGAGATGTACTACTTGAAGGAGAGAGTCAAAATTCCATCAGGGTATCCCCAAACCCTTCAGTGCACCTAAAATAGCTCTTTGAATTCTGAGGGAGCATGGAGATTGTAGAGCAGTTAACTTTTCCAAAATTATTCAGTGAGTAGGCTTGCCAAGTCCCCCCGGGGGGCGGGGAAAACCCCGCCCCAGAGGCCCGTTCCCCACCCCCAAAGCACGCGATGTGCACGTCACCCAGACAGTGACGCGACCACGCCGGGCACGCTGGGGGCGGGGCCACGGTCATCCGAGGGAAAACTCTATGGTTTTCCCTCAGATGGTCACTTCGGACTTGGCAACCCTATCAGTGAGGCATGCAGACACTGAAATCAATCCTCACTGTGCTTGGTAATTATGATAAAGTATTTCAAATAATGTGAAACAACATTTATTTAGTTTCCTGTGTGAATATGTAGCTGTGCTTTAGTTTCAGTTCTGAAAAATTATGCAATGGCTTTCTAGAGAGAACTGGATAGAATTGGTCTAAAAATTAAAGGCACAGCTCCCCCTATTGTCTAAATCTCCTTCCAGATAGATCAAGATGGGTAGCCGTGTTTGTCTGTAGCAGCAGAAAAAAGTAAGAGTTCAGGAGCACCTTAAAGACTAACAAAATTTGTGGTAAGGTATGAACTTTCGTGAGTCACTGCTTACTTCTTCAGATACCACAAATTCTGATAGTCTGTAAGGTGTTACTGGACTCTTACTCTTTTCTAAATCTCCTTCTGTGTTACATAATCAATATGTTTAAAACTGTAACTTGCTTTCTATCTAATTTGAATGAACCCCACTATCAGTTGAGTGCAGTGTGTTTTGCCTTTTCCTGTGTTCTCCAGTATTTGCAGTTGAATTGTGTAGAAATATTCAGAACCATTCAAGGGTTTTTGATGCTTTTCTGTGATTTTTCTAGAACACCAGCGGTAGCACTGTCACAGCTTTCTCCCTTCTTCATCAGTACGAAAGACAAAAATTGTAGGCAGCCATGGTAATCTATAGAATACTTCCAGAAACCACAGAGCTCCTCCTTATGATGCCTTGTTCCTCTGCAGTTTATCTGTGGCTTTGTGTTCCTCTGCCTTGTATTCCTAATATTACCCAGTACAGATTCTGTGGGTTGCTGTTCTGATGGAATGACTAGAAAGGCTTTTTATTTATTTTTTGTTTTATTTAAGTCTAAAAGATGGAACTAGATAGTCTGTCTGTTGTTTTCTATGACCACTAACATTGCCACACTTTAATAATGTCAAATGCATCACTGATGGCAGCGTCTCTATTTCTAACAGGTCCTCAGGAAGGTTGTGGTGGTCATCTGACGAACTCCAGTTACACCTTTGGCTCTCCAGACTCCAACATGGATGGCAAATATGATAAAGATCTGGAATGTGTGTGGACTATTGTTGCGCCTGTAAACAGGCTGGTCAACCTCACATTCAACTCTTTTGAACTTGAAGCAGCCTCTTCTTTTCAAAACTGCCGATTTGACTATGTCAAAGTAAGATTCTCACTGCTAAGCAAGAAATGGCAAGCAGTCATTTTAGCGTGTTTTAAGCTTAGACTACAAAAATGTGTGTGTTTTCATTAATAGAGGCTCTTATACCAGGGGTAAAAGGAAAATAAGAACACTGCAGACCATGGGAATGATTCACACCTTACAAAATCTTCACATCCCCATTGTGTTTTCACTTGAAATGTATACTACAGTTGTATATGTAAGAAATGTGTATTTTCAGCCACATTAGTGATTCCCCTCATGTTCTCTAACCTCTACCCCACCATGCCTTTGCTTTCAATGTCTGTTGGTAATAGACCACTGTGCTGAGTCATCACCATGATTCTATCCCAGCATTCCTTTCATTTTCAAGCATGTTCTTACCTCCTCTAAATTAAGTTCCTTAAAAAAAATTGTTTCCCACCAATTCACCACAAGATGGTGTCCACTAACAGTAGTATTCATAAGAACTGAAAAGTACTGAGTGATTTCAGCTCTCATACTTTATTTAAGGTTCGGAACAAGACAAACTAACCAGCTCGCAGGCTGGTTTATATGTGCAACAACCCCGCACCCAAAACACACCCCCACACAAGTGATTGGCTATTTACAGTGGTCGAGAGTTCCATAGCCTCTCGGCCGGGAGCCTAGCCTGCCGATAGGCGCTGGCCAGGATCCGCTTGTCCCATTGTTACTGCGAATGAAGCTCGGCTGCTTCGCATGACCGCGTGGTGAAATGGCCACGCACGTGGTCTGAGATGGATACATTACAAGAACATAAGAGAAGCCAGTGTTGGATCAGGCCAATGGCCCATCAAGTCCAACAGTCTGTCACACAATAGTCAAAAATACCAGGTGCCATCAAGAGGTCCACCAGTGGGGCCAGGACTCTAGAAGCCCTCCCACTGTTGCCCCCCCCCCAAGCAATGCTCCCTGTAAGCTGTGGAGTCTTGTGAGCAAAAATTCTACTTTGTGAGCTAGTGGCATTAAAGTTGTGAGTGAGCGGTTTGGCTACTGCATACATCAGTTTGCTCTGGAGCCATCCTTCCTGAGCTAAGGCAAAAATGTGTGAACTGGAGGTTAAAAAACTGTGAGCTAGCTGACATTAACTCAGCTTAGAGGGAACACTGCCCCCAAGCACTAAGAATACAGAGCATCACTTGCCCCAGACTGAGAGTTCCTATCTATACCTTGTAGCTAATAGCCACTGATGGACCTCTGCTCCATATGTTTATCCAAAGCCCCCTTGAAGCCATCCATGCTTGTAGACACCACCACCTCCTCCTGTGGCAATGAATTCCATGTGTTAATCACCCCTCAGTCATCATTTCTCCAGCTAAAGAGCCCCAAGTGCCTTTACCTTTGTTCATAGGGAAAGTTTTCCAACCTTTAATCATTCTAGTTGCCTTTTTCTGCACTTTTCCCAATGCTATAATATCCTTTTTGTGGTGTGGTGACCAGAACTGTACACGGTATTCCAAATGAGGCCACACCATCGATTTATACAGGGGCATCTTGATACTGGCTGTTTTGATCTCAGTTCTCTTCCTAATAATGCCCTGCATAGCATTGGCCTTTTTTATTGCAGTTGTACACTGTATGCATTATAAGTGTACAATGTTGATTAAAGAAATGTGTGTGTGTGCGTGTGTCAGACCAATGGATGCTGTCATATCTAGTATGAACCTAAGTGCTCAGTTAAAACTGTCTATTTTTATATGAGATCACAATTACAAATTATAAGTAGAGACCTGCAAGAAACGTGTGGAGAGGGTGCATTCCTTCCCCCCCTTTACTTCCTTCACCTTCTCTAACAATCTTCCCCCTCTTTCGTACCCTCTCCCCATCTGTCAATCTGCCCCACCTCTCTTTCTCCCCTCCCCTTCTCCATCAGTCTTCCCCCTTTCTCTTTCTCCCCCTGTGCTTCTCTGACAGTCTCCCCCCTTTCTCCCCCCTCCTTATCTGTCAACCTACCCCCATCCTTTTTGCTCCTCCACACCTTCTCTATCAATCTACTCCTCCCCTTCTCTGTCAACCTACCCAATCTTTCTGCCCCTCCCCTTAGCTGTCAACCTCCCTCCTTCTCCTTTTTGCCCCTCCCACCCCTTCTCCATCCACCTACCTCTCCCCATCTCTGTCAGGCTACCTCCCGCCCTCACTGCTGCCACCACTTGCCTCTCTCATTGCCAGCTCAGTGGGGTGAGGACACTGAGGACTGCCGTGCTTCCCTGCATAGCAGCTTGGTGGCAAGGAAACAGCAAGGACTCACATATGCCCCTGATACCCTTCTAGCAGGTGGGCAGGTGCATGCCTTTACTGTTTCCCTATCAGCCTGTCATTCCTGGTCCTGCAAGGACTCCGCTCCAGGAATTAACACCAATTGTTGCTGAGCAATTAGGTGAACATCTTCCCTCTAGAACTGTCAAGTACTCTGTCCTCCTCCTATGCTCTGCTGGTTTGGGGGAGGCCAGAGGAAATGGAGACACCGGCTTCTGTGCTGTCTCTTTCTTCTCCTGGAAGACTGAGCAGCCTGGTCATGACTGGGAAGCGTTTTTGCTTCCCATGTTTCCCCCGTTGGGTCTGCTGCTGGATCCAGCTGCCCAGATAGGGATTCCATCCATGCGGGTCCCAATTCTTCTGATTCCTCCGAGGAGGAGGTGGCAGTTGGCTGGCCCATTACGCTGTTATGCTACGAAAGACCACCGGAAGTAGGTCCATTATCTCCACGTGTGCAGAAAACACTCTTTTATTAGGGTGGAAATTAATCCTCCTAATGTATTTTTTTTAAGATGTCTGAGTTTTCTGCAACCCTAGGGGGCTTTCCAACATGTGTTTTGGGTAAGTGTGGTCCCAATCTGCGGATTTAGATATTTGTAGATGGAGGCCACACTTGAGAAACAGTATATAGGTACTAGTTTTGAATCCTCAAATTCCATCATTCTTTTTTTATCACATCTGCTCAGTTTTCATTGTGCATGTCATACATATTCTACTGTATTGACTTAATTTGGGTGTTCTTTTTCTGCTTTTAGCTGTATGATGGCAGTAATGACAATGCCACTCTAGCTGGCTCGTTTTGTGGCTCCAACATTCCAGCTCCTTTTCTCTCTACTGACAACTTCTTGACTATTAAGTTTGTCACTGACAGGTCTATAGAAAGAGCAGGTTTCACAGCTACCTACACTATGGTGGATAGTAAGTATAATTTTCTTTTATTTAAAGATGATGACACAAATCAAGTCATAATTCCTTTATCTTGCATGCCTTCATAAAGCATCTCATAGCTAATAAAAAGTAATTATGGCGCTTAGACATGTCAGTTGGGAAGCTAGAGATCTCAGTGAAAGGAGATATTTCCTGTGTAGAAAGAATTCAGTGGTCCAGATCAGCCCTGAGATAGGACCCAATATACCATGATCTTACTGGAGCCTGGTGGAAAGGAAGGTGCCCTTAAAGTGTGACTGGAGACAAAAGGCTTAGGGAGGTCTGAGGCATAACTTGGTGGGACTGAGACTGGGCTATGGGTATCATTGCAAACCTCCAGGTGGGGCCTGGAGAGACCTCAGAATTATACCTGATCTCTGGACTACAACCATCAGTTCTCCTGGAGAAAAAGGCTGCTTTGGAGGGCAGATTCTGTGGCATTATACCCCACTGAAGTCCCTCTCCTTCCCAAACTTGCCTTTCCACAGCCCCCAGCCCCCAAATCTACAGGAATTTCCCAACCCAGATTTGGCAGCCCTAGCTATGGGGGTATTAGTGTAGGTCAGTGTGAAATGTTAAAGGCGTTTCAAGTATTTTAACAAACAATTAAAATCTTTTGTATGGATAAAGATAGAATTTATTCATTTTGAATTTGTACAGCTAGTTCCTCATAATAAGTACTTTTTTATCTGAAAGGGTCACTGATATGAACAAAACATGCTTCCAAGTAAATGTTGTTTTAGGGCTCCAGCATAAGATGGCGAATGGAAGTACAAAGTGTCTTTTAAACCAGCAAACTTTATTAACTTGCTGTTGTTGTTTGTAACAGGACTGTGTGGAGGTACATATAATGCAACTTCTACATCCCAGACTGTGACATCACCCTACTTTCCAAATGCCTATCCTCCATTTACAGTCTGTAGATGGGTCATTGATGCCCCTCCTGAACAGCAAGTCAGACTAGTAGTACATGAATTCCATCTCCATTCCAGTCAAGACTGCTCTCGGAATTATCTAGAGTTCCAGGACACACCCCTGGTAAGTCATTTAGAGTAGCATTTCTCAAAGGTGGATCACAAAGATGGTGGCAGTGGGTTGCAAGCTTTTAAAGTCCCCCTCCCCAGCTGGGGGTTGGAACTGTTTTGTTTCCTAGTACTTTGAGCCTTGGATTTTCTAAAGCTACTGAGGCTGGCAAGAGAATGAGGAAAAGACGGGGCCTCAGGTCCCCTCTCGGAGGGGCATGTTGTGTTTGCAGCTCCTTGTGAACCCTCTCACATCAGCCCTTCCCTCTCCACAGTGACTTGTAATGCTGTGAAGGGCTTGCAGGACATTTACAGGCAGATGAGCAGTTTAAGGTGATAAATTTCAAAAGTAAAAGCGATGTGATTGGTGACTGTTCTAATTGGGCGATTCTAATGCTCTGGCTGTCCATCCCCCCCTCCTCCAAGCAAATGTCCATTGATTAGCCTGGAGCAGGAGCTCTTTTGATAAATCACTTCTTTTATTAGCTGCCTTGAAAGATTCTTTTCCTTTCCCTTCGGCAGGAAGCTTGTCTGTTGCATTTCTGCCTGCGATGCAACTATTTAAAGCCGGAAAACCTGCCAATTTTTTTTGGCTTTACTCCAAAACCTACTGTTTGGCAGCCATTATGGGAATTACTTTTCTGCTCCTCAATTCAATCCAAAGGGTTCTATAGATTCCACTGACTCCCCCCTACAGAGTAGGTTACTCGCATTCCCATCCAGAGGATGAAATCCATAGACTTCTCTTGCAAGAGCACAAAAATACCATAAGGATATTTTAATTTAAATGTCGAGAATGGATTTCACACTCCAGCCTACAGGTGGGAGTGGGACTACGCATTATTTGCATGTATTAAATGGGAAAAAGTGTGGTGCACGTCAGACTAGGATTGGGTAGACCATGGGTCAAATCCTTACTCTGCCATGAAACTCATGGGGTTACTTCAGGATGATCACAGACTAACCTGACTTATAGAGTTGTTTGAAGTAAGGCTGGGATAAAACTGTGATTGACTGTATAACATATTTTGGGGTTCCATACCTTCAAAATGTAGTACCAGGTGTTACCCAAATCTGCACACTCGTGTCAGGGCTGTAGCATGCAGAGGCATCCCCTTGCCAGCATGGAACAAACACATGTATTTTGGGTATTCAATACTTTGGACCATTAACCTATGTATTCAGACCAACCCTGAAAGAAAGAGGGGGATAAGACTCATAAACCGAAAGGGTTTTTATTAAAAAGTTAGATTGATCTAAGCAATAAGGCAGAGCAAAAAATAATTTACAAAAGGAAAGACATCAAGTTAACACCACGCAAAACCTTCTCCTAACTGCTTACCTACTGGGGAATAAAACTGAAAAGGGGGGGGGAGACATAGAAACTTGCTCCTGGAGAGAAAAGGGAGGGGTTGTCCCAGCAGCAAGTAAGCAACATTGGGAGTTGACACTGACCAGATAGGAGAAGGAGGCACAGAGGTAGGTCTGTGGAGCAGAGAAGTGGGAGGACAACCATGATGCTGGAGTAATAGGATGAGTCCACAACTGGCTACAAAAAATTGCGGCTAAGAGGGATAACTTCTTAAACCCTTTTTCTGAGACTGAGAAGGGGGCAGGGTGTTGGCACTGGAATGTTGGGATATTAAAAATGCAATCTTTCAAGGATGACTGAGCCTCCAAAAAAAATCCTTTGTCTTTATTGTGGAGGGGAGTCTTCCTTTTAGCATTGAGAGTGAACAAATGTTCCCTTGGGGACACTTGGAAGTTAGATATGAAAGTATCTGTGGCTGAGTATTTGTCATGATTAAGAAAGGGCAGGAACTTTCCTGCCTGGTCATTGAAATATGAAGGACATTGCTGGAATCAGTCCTGTTGCTTCTTGTTTTGGAGATCTGGGTCATTAGTTAGGATCAAATTATCTGGGAAGAGATGCCAGCGTCCTTGAAGGAAATGGCCCTCAACTAAATCTCTCTTAGGCCGGGTATTTGCATGATTGATAAAGGAGCTGCCCCGTGTTATTTCCCCCTTAGCATGACTCACTGCCTTTTGATATCCTTTAATTCAGGCTCCATCTATCATGTGCAGAAAAAGGGGGAACAATCCATGACATAAATGGGGGTCCCCAGGGGTGACAGCCTCAAGGGCATAACAGGTTTATGTTTCGAGTAACAGTGGTCAAACAGTGACTTGTGTAACTATGTTTTTAGAATAATTTTTATAACTTCTGAAGCTATAACCTTTAGTCAGATGGTTGCATTCTTACATTCCTATAAACAATAACATTTAAATACAATAAATATTTCTTCCACATTAATATGGGTGTTAGTGTTTGCTTGTATGCCTCATGTAATGGTTACAAAATAGGGAAACTTGCAGTTAAAATGCATGAAACCAATGGCTGCCAAAGACCTAAGGTCCGGAATTCATGTTACAATCAATGCTCCCTCTAAACTGTGGAGTCTTGAGAGCAAAAATTCTACTTTGTGAGCTACTGGCATTAAAGCTGTGAGTGAGCGCTTTGGCTACTGCATAAATTAGTTTGCTCTGGAGCCATCCTTCCTGAGCAAAGACAAAAATCTGTGAACTGGAGGCTAAAAAACTGTGAGCTAGCTCACACTAACTCAGCTTAGAGGGAACACTGGTTACAATGATGTTTTGGCTCACCATACAAAGTAAATTTGGTCTTGTGTGTCATCACCATACCAAAAAGGATGGGAATAATTGATTTGGAAAGCAACCCTAAGCAGGTCTACTCAAAAGTAAGTCCTGTTTTATTCTATGGAGACCCAGGAAAGGGCTTTTAGGATTGCTTCCTTAGCCCTACTGGATGATTGTTATAAAATGGGTTCTGCTGAGTATTGTTGACTGCTATGGATGGCTTGTGGTAAGGGTTCCCAATCTGACTTCCAAAGGTCTACCAGATTTTTGTCTTGGAAGTTTTCCTTCACTTTTCACTGCTTAACTTTGCTATGGCAGAACGCTCTCCTCTTTATATGTGCTAACTAATCTTACAGTACATGGTCATCCATTAACTTGTACTACTTATATTTCAGAGCGATCAAGAACATGCTAACCGTGTCCACAGGTTTTGTGGAGCTGAAAACTTTACAATTCCTGAATTTTATTCGTACAGACGAACTGCTATTGTAGTTTTCAGATCAGAAGCTTATATGCCTAACAATAGACTCAGCTTCTCCTATAAAGCTTCAGGTAAGACTTAAAGCAATTCTTTTATATGCATGACTTTTTCCATAAAATGCATGGTAAGGAGTTAAACTACATTTTGTTATTCTCTCCCAATAGGCTGCGACAGAGAATACAATCAGTCCTTTGGCTACCTGAAAAGCCCAGGCTGGCCTAATTCTTATCCTAATAATTTGGATTGTACCATTATTCTACGAGCCCCAGATAATCACACCCTATCTCTCTTTTTCACTTCTTTTAATCTAGAGGATTTTGGATGTCACCATGACTTTTTAGAGGTATGCCACCATCATGTACTTCATAGGACTTCATTCAGGATTTTGCCTTCACTTTATTCTTCTCCTTTAATTGTCCGCAGGGACCATTTGTTGATGTCTTACCTTGTCATGCTCCTCAGCTTGATTTTGTGAATTTGGGGGGGGTGTGTGTGCTGAATTTGATGGTTCCTGAACACCCCAACATTTTTCCTAATGTAGCTCAGAAAATTGTTACAGATGAAAATTGTTGAGCCAGTAGGTAACAGCCCACAATCTACACACAAATGAAATGTTTCAAGTAAAAATCCGCTGACATGATAGGTCTTGAGACCACAGAGCTTTCAAAAAGGTTTGGCTACAGGGCCTCCACCAAGTTCTGACCAAAGGATGGACCTGCAGGAGAATGAAGTAGACCACTAGTCTCTGGCACACATACTAACAAAAGCTTTCTAGCTCCTTTTCACCAACAAGAAGACTCCATTGCTCAATATCCTGTGACAGACAGCCTGGGCAGGGTGAAGCCAGAGGAAACTCTGGTGGAGGTCCATAGCAGTCCTGACGTGCAAATCGGTCATCCGACCTGGGTATAGGGGCAAAAGACTAAATGGACCTCTGCTCCGTATGCTTATCTAATTCCCTCTTGAAGCCGTCCATGCTTGTAGCTGCCGCCACCTCCTGTGGCAGTGAATTCCATGTGTTAATTACTCTTTGAGTGGAGAAGTACTTCCTTTTATCTATTCTGACCCTTCTAATGGAATGCTTTGACAGTGATACACCTTTAATGTAGTTATCTGGGTAAGTTGCAGTGCTGTTTCTTCCTTAACAGTCTTGCTGTTGTGTGTCCTCTTTTCAAGATCAGAAACGGTAGTGATGCAGGCTCTCCACTGCTTGGCAAATATTGTGGAAGCACCTTGCCTGACCCTGTGTTTCCTAAAAACCATGTTGTATATCTACATTTTGTAAGTGATGCCTTCCTTCCGCTTAATGGATACGAGATCACCTGGACTTCATCACCAACTGGTACTAACATTTGCTTTCAACCTTATTTTTTCCATTCTGCCTTAAAAGATGACCTCAGGGTAGCTTATAAACTATAAACATTAACATAAGTGATAAAGAATAACAAAAAAGAAACAATTAATTTAAATACCCCACTAAAGCAATAGAACGAAAACCAGAGAGTAGAAGAATTTAAATATTATGATGTGTCAGATTTAAAATCCTTTTTATACTGTTCTGAATAACAGAAACTAAAAGGTAATCTCTGCAAAGGAAGAATTCTAGAGCTAGCCTAGTGTTCTTCCCTAGGGAACATACCTCTGCCGAGAAAGTCCTAGTAGTCTTCCCCACCAACCTGACCTCTGTCAAGGAAGGGACTTGGCTAATGAGGGGAAAGATGGATTCTTAAGTACCCGGGGCTGCCATTTAGCACTTTCAGGGTTCAAACAGGCTCTTTGAATTGTGCTTAGATTAGAGTATCATCAGCACTAGAGTAGGCAACAGCTGAACTGAAATATACAAACAGCCTCTCCCTGCAGTTTCATGAGAATCTAAAAGACTAAAAATGTTACTGGCCAAAAGTTCTTCTGAATGGGGGCTGAAATAAAGCAATTTTTTTTCAAATGATATTGAATATTGCTTGGTCCCTGCAGAAGTGAACATTTTATTGTTTTCTTGTGCCTTGCATTGTAGCCTAGCACTTTTGAGAAAGCAGATTTCCCATGGATGTAATGTCAAAAACACCCTTTTCACAGGATAACATTCATTGTAGCTTTATGTGTACCCTGTTTAGCATATATTAAAAATCAAGTCTGAGTCTAGTGTCTTTCTTTATCCATACCAAGCCCCTCATTATCCTCATCTGGTTTGTAATTTTCTGGATTCACCTGCAAGTATGTGTAGAGACCTTCCCTTCTCATACATGTTAGACTCCAAAAATCTGGCAGCCTAAGTAGAATGAGTCTGAACATAGGCAGGACATCTTTTGCTTGTTCCCCTATTGCTCTTTTACTGTCTCAGCTCACATGCAGCCCCGGACAGACATATAGATCTGAGTTCTGACAACCTGACACAACACATCTTTCATCATATACATGAAGAAACTGCACAGTGTGAAATGATGATGGCCTGCTCAATATGTCTATTATAAGGACCTGTGGCCTATACAGTGGAGGGGGGGGCAGGTCCTCTCTGCTTGTACACACACAGAAAGCAGAGGCATCTTCTATACCTATTGACCTATACCTAGACAGTCATGCCGGCCACATGACCACTGTCTTCAAACAGTGCTGGCTCTTCGGCTTTGAAACGGAGATGAGCACCGCAACCCTAGAGTCGGACTCGACTGGCTTTCGAGCAAGGGAACCTTTACTTTTACTTAGACAGCTTTTAGAGAGTAAAGAGAAATCATTTCCCACCCTTCATCTCATTTATTGCAACATTTGTTTTTTTGCAAAAAAAAAGTCAATCACAAGGAGTCACCTCTCATGCAATTAAACGCATATTGACTAGTTTGACTGAGATTGCTTCCACATAGAGCTCCTGCTCCACCTTGCCTCTGAAACATTAGGGGCTTCTGAATTACACTGTCATTAAGTTGTGTCCCATCTGAATTTTTCCCAGCTGCACCCCAACATTTCCTAAACCTGCTTTGGTGCAATCTATACTAAAAAAAATATGAGCAAGGTGCAGATTTCCACACTTTTTGCCCACATCTGCTGGTCTTCACCTAGAGCTGCCAGGTGGCCTGCAGGCAACCTCCTGCCCCAGTGCTCTGGGTCCTGCCACCACTTAATGGAGCAAAAAAAAATATGGGTAGGGGAACCAGTGTTGGACAATGTCTTGATGTCACTTTTGGTTGCATACCCAGAACTGAAGCCACTGTTTTAGGAATTTCCCCAATCTCTATGGTTAAAAACCATAGAGATTGGGGAAGTTCCTAGAGCATCACATGATACTGCAATGCAGGGCTCTAGTCGGGGGGGAGCTCTCAGGTACGGAGCTCCGGAAGAGAACCTCTAGGGGGCGGGGCGGTCACGTGGTGAAGCCCCGCCCCTTCTTTACCCTGCCCTCTGCTTCGATCCTCATTCCGTTTGGGAATGAGGATGAAGCAGGAGGGTAAGTAGCCGGGCCTTCTGACACACTTCCGGTGATGTCAGGGGGTGTGGCCTTCTGTCACTTCCGGTGATGTCAGGGGGCGTGGCATATGCAAATAAGTTATGCTAATGAGTTATGCTAATGAGCTCCGGCAGCTCTTTTTCTACAACAAGACCCCTGCTGCAATGTCACTTTGAGATATGCAACCTGAACAGACGTCACAGTGTCAGGTGTTTTTAAGAATCATCTATCATAGTTATGTTGCTCCATTTTTTTAAACCAGCAGAGGTGGTGGGAAGGAAATGGTGTCCGGCAGAAGAAAGCACAGGGAAAACCCTCGTGCAGATGTTCCATCGCCACAACAAAAGCCTTTGTGGGAGAAAGAAATGGGATTTTGTGCAGATATACCCAGAATAAATAAATGCTTAGAATTATTTTAAAAATATTCAGTGGTGATACATACGCTAAAGCGTATAGTATTTAAATGAAATGTTTCCTCTGTACAGGGCCTTCCCCGTTTTCTGCACCCTAATGAAATATGTTTGAGAAATAACCCAACATAGCATGAGCACCTTCAGTACTTCTTACTTTATTGCTGACCTGTGATTGCTATGTCAGAAAATGCATAATATAACTGAGCCTTGCATTCTGTGTTTCCAGGATGTGGTGGTACCTTATATGGTGAGGCTGGTTCATTAACTAGCCCAGAGTACCCAGCGTCTTATCCAAATCAGACAGACTGTGAATGGATCATCAACGCACCCAAAGGACGGATTGTCACGATAAACTTTGTTTTCATCAATATTGAAGACCTGGGTGACTGCACTAGAAACTATCTGATGCTCTATAATGGACCAGACAGTAGCCATCCACAGATTGGACCATACTGTGGAATGGTATGTTTTAATTATTTGTGTTTGTCAATATATAGGACATTTGGGAACCTGCAAGCAACTTGTGTAGGTAATATGAATGTAATAAAGTTTATTGTATATGGCTATTGGCCTTTACAAATTAAAACATTTTACAACCCTAGAAATTTAAAATTTCTGATATAACATCCATCTCTAAAAATTCTTACTCAGACACAAAAATTATGTATCATTTCATTTGACTGTTTTCTTAGAAACCGCATTTACTCTGATTTTCCTAGCAACTAGAGCAAAGAGTGCCATCCCGTAGTTAGACAAAGGAATCAACATCTGACAGCATAAATACTAATTTGTCAGAACTGGAAAAAGAATATAAAGTCTGTAATGTCTTAGCCAGAAATTCATTTCTAGACCCCAAGGCCGATTTCCCACAAGCTGCTGCAGCGCTCTCGCCATTCCCTTTGCCCCAATCATACTTGTCAATTTCACACTAAGTGCTGCGCGGCTGCATTTTGTCCCGCAGCTTCGCCCGATTTCCTCCGCCTCTACTCAATCCTGTTTTTTTAGGATTGAGTAGAGGCGGGGGAAATTGGGCAAAGCTGTGGGGCAAAATGCAGCCACGCAGCACAGTGTGAAATTGACACGTACAATCGGGGAAAAGGGAAGAGCAAGCGCGCTGCAGCAGCTTGTGGGAAATCGGTCCAAGTATAAAGGGCAAACCAAAACATAGTGAAGGTCTTCCACCAAACTTCTGCACATACAGATGCGTTGTTCCTTGAAGAAACTTGCAAGGTGGCTATCCCATTCCTACATTTGCTTCTTCCCCTCTCCCCCTACCTCTCTCACACTGTCTTCCTTCTGCCACCCCTTTTCTTACTGTCTCTCCTTCATGAATGTCACTTCCTCTCTTTCTGCCCTCCCATTGCTCTCTGTTTTTCTGTCTCCCCACCTCATCACTCTTTCTCTCTTTCTGCCCCCCCATCCATCACTCTCTCTTTCTGCCCCCATCACTCTCCCAGCCTCCTGCCTGCTTCCTCTCTTCCCCCCTCCCCAGCAGCAGTGGCAGCTCTCCAGGATACACAACACATCTTTCAACTGTAGAGATCAATTTCCCATCCGGTTGCCAGCTCCAGGTTGGGAAATTCCTGGAGATCTGGGCATAGAGCCTTGGGATGGTGAGCCTTAGGAAGGGAAGCAGGGTATAATCCCATAGACTCCACCATTCAAAGCAGTCACTTTCTTCAGGGAACTGATCACTGTCATCTGGAGAGCAGTTGTAATTCCAGGTGATCTCCAGCCCTCTCACGTGGGGGATGGCAATGGTTGTTCTTGTGGAACAAATAGCTGGTTCGGAGGGTGGAGTCTATAGGAGTATATTTGTCTGATGTCCCACTCTGCCCTCCCCAGGCTCCACCCCTCAAATCTCCAGTCCTAAAGTTGCCAGCCTCCAAGTTGGACCTGGAGATCCCCCAGAATTACAACTGAACTCTAGGCAAAAGAGATCAGTTCCCCTGGAGAAAATGGTTTTGGAGAGTGGTCGTTATGGTAGTATATACTGCTGAGGTCTCCTCAGACTGAAACCCTGGTCTCCTCAGACTCCACCACAAAATCTCGAGGAATTTCCCAACCTGGAGCTGGCAACCATTGTCAGGCCTAGCCCCAAGGACCCCTCCCTCAAAAGCCAAAATATGTCTGGAAAGGGCCCTGCCCCTTCTGCCTACCTTTTACTGACAGAACCAAGCGTGGAATATTATGGTTGCCTAGCAACAGCCACTGGGGGAAACCAGTTTTTTAAAGCTATAGGTGCTTTTTAAAATCATTTTTGGCTTTTTTTTAAGATACATTTTTTTTTAGATTTCACATTTTCCTGCAAACTTAGGGCCCTTTTCAGGTTTGTAGAAAGATCTGTCTTGCCCATTCACAGCTCCAGAACAAATTTAGAGTCCAGTGGCACTTTTAAGACCAACAAGACCTTTGTTGTCTTAAAGGTGCCATAGGACTCTAAATTTGTTCTACTGCTTCAGACCAACACAGCTGACCATCTGGATCTATTCACAGCTCCAAAGATATCCCAACTTCACTATTTGAATATAAGATTATGGTTTGGGTTACCAGCTCTGGATTGGGAAATGCCTGGAGATTTTGGGGGTGGAGCCTGAGGAGAGCGGGGTTTGGGGAGGGGAGGGACTTCAGTGGGGTATAATGCCACAGAGTCCACCTTCCAAAGTGGCCATTTTCTCCAGGTGAACAGATCTCCAGCCAGCACCTGGAGGTTGGCAATCCTAATTATAGTGCAGTCAAAACTGAGTATATTGGGGCTGGTGACAGTTGGTGTGTTTTTTGAGTTGCCTGCAGTTTTTAAGCTTTTCTCTCTTCTTCACACCGGGACATTTATGATATTTATAAAGTATGTCTTTAAACATCTGCAGTGGGCTCAGGCCTCTCCATTAGCAAGCATGAACATTTTTTACACCCATGGATGCTTGCTTCTATTGATTCCAGACAAAGATGAGCCCCAGCACTTTTGAGGTAGCTATTAAGCTGTAGCACAGGGCATACATTCCTAATTAAAGGGGGGGGGGAGAGAGACATAAATCAAAACAGAAAGACCATCAGAGGTATTAAAGTGGCATGGGAATTTGCTTCTGACTGTATATATTCTCCCTCCAAAAACCAATCTCCATCCCAACCTATTAGAAACCAAATAATTTCTAATTATTCTAGCCACATGATGAAGATAATTACTCCAGCACAGTTTAGCATTAAAAGAACCTGTTTGGAGTGCCTGGGCACCATCCTGGAAATAATAAACCTTTGACCATGTGTAAAGTACCTATTACATTGCATAGTATATTTATAATTAGCAGAACTTCTTCCAAGAGGGGTTGTGTCCATGGCAGGTAGCAGGACTGGTTCTCGGTCACTATAACATCCATAAAGCCTGAAACCCAATGTGTCTCATTTCAGAAATTTACTTGCAAACTGTCCATCAACAGACCCGCGGCATAAGCTACAGCCAAGCTAGCTGTTTGCAGAAGGGAGGGACGCACTATCCTTTGCATAACACTTATGCCATTTTTCTCGGTTTAAATAAAGCCCAAACAGCCAATCCAAACCTGAGGGCTGTGGCAGATGTAGCAGCCAGCCACTGACATAATAGCAGTGATGCTAGCTGGATTCATAGAGGAGAAGAAACAACATGCTCCCCTCTGCAAGGTGCAGACTATGTAGTGAGCATGCTGGAGACCACAGCAACCCTTGCAACACCCACCTATCAGGCAGCAGCACCTGAGCATGTTCCTTTAAGTGGCGCACACAGGCACAGCCAACCACAGCCTGCTGATGTGGCCACTGCCCCCATATGATGCCAGGCAGGGAACGGTGCACAAGGATAGCATCACCAGCGCTCCTGGTTCAATCCCCACATGAGGAGAGGCCAGAGGCAGGCAAAAGTTGTGGTTCTGACATTTTGCCACCACAAAAGGGGGAACAGGAAGGCCCAGCTGATAGGTCACTCTGGACATCTATCATTTTGGCTCAGACACCCCTTCAGTGCCACACCCGGAGGTCTAGTTGCTGCCATCAGCTCCCTTTTCCCCTGTCCACCCTAAGCCCCCAGCATGTCAGCACCCACAACCCGCATGGCTTCTCAGATGCCAGCAGTGCTGTGGGAACGTGTTAGACACAGTTTAAAACCAAAAATAAAACAGCAAACCCCAGATCTCTCTCCCCCACACACCATTCCCCAGCTGCTGTGAGGCTGTAGAGAACTGGAGTTGGGTCCAGGGATCTTTTCCTTCCCCCTCACCTTGATAAAAAGGTGTCACCTTGCATTCCATAATGAGAATCACCTCAAGGTTAGGTTATGCTGCTGTTACACAAATCTGTGCATAAATAAAGCTGGAGTCCAGTGGCACCATGGGGAATTTTTTTGACATGAAGTCACAGCTGACTTATAACAACCCCATAAGGCTTTCAAGGCAAGAGCCATTTAGAGGTGGTTTGCCATTGCCTGGCTCAGTGTCACAACCCTGGTGTTCCTTGGAGGTCTCCCATCCAAATACTAGCCTGGTTAACTTTCAAGATCTGATGAGATCTAGCTAGCCTGGGCTACCAGGTCACAGTAGCATAAGCTTCTGTAACTCAGAATTTCAACTGCTTTTATTTTGCTGCTGCAGACTAACACAGCTACCCATTTAGATCCATACGAAGTTCTCCAAACAGAGATACTGTACTGACATCTAGTGGGATTTGTGCTGAAGTATTCCTTTTCTGATGATCCCCCTTTGAGTTCCAAATATTCTTTGCTTGTACATTTCCCCTCTTTTATGGTGAAAAACACAGCCACCTGTGGCTCAGAATACAAGCTTAGAATCAGACCAGTCTAAATTTTAAGCCAATGTTTTTTACTTATATCTCGTATTCCTTGTAGGCAAAGTGTGGGACTTTGAATATAATGTACACCTAAACTGTAAACATAAGGTCAGAATCAGGCTTGGTTAATTGCTGTTGAGCTATGGTCCTCCAACAATATCCATCTTACAGTGTGATATATGTTATGAACTGTGATGCTAGACATAATCCAGGACATACTTAACGCTTGTTGAAATCGGGGGGGGGGGAGATGTTTACATTATGATGCCCACATTCAACAGAACACACCTTTTCTATTACACTTGAAGATGATTCACCCAAATCAAAGTACTTCCAATCCCATTGATTGCAACAGAAGAGAGCTGAGCATGTCCTTCATAGTGTCTAGTTCCACTAAGAGGGTTTTACTACCATTGCACCTACTTTCTTTCTTTGTTATAATTTTTTATTGCTTTTTCACTAAAAACTACAGGAATAGGGACAGGGGAACATTTAACTAAGAATACAAAGCTAAACAAGGATCTAGTACGACACAAATGCTTATTTCAAGGTTTCCCTTAGTTTTCACTCAATCAAGACGAAGGGTGAGATTATCTATTTCCAAAATAAATCAGTATAAACAGTATTAGTCAAAATAGGTGAGTTATGGTATTTTACGCTTAGTAGTGTAAATCTTTCAACATCCACATTTATTTCTTCTTCTTTTTCTGTTTACTCTTATCATAGTCCCAGTGGACTTTAAGAAGGTTGGAGGCAGCTGCTCCCATATCAGATTCTCATCCCTCTTCTGAGGAACTGTTCGATGAGCTGGTAGAATTTCCCGATCCATTTTCACTGCTGTCAATCTCTGCATTGTCATCCTCCACTTTCTCTTCTGCTTTCTCAGTTTTTTGATGTTTCTCCAAAAATGCTTTAGCTTTTGCAATAGAGTCTATCTTTTCTTTATTATCCTTAAAGTTGAAGATAAGACACCTGGTATCATGCATCTGTAGGGAGTGGAATTTTTTTGTTTAAAAGTTGTCAGTTTTTTATATTGTTGTCTCCTCTTTCTTACCTCAAATGGAATGTCTTTCAAAATTCTTATGTCTTCTCCTTTGATTTTTAGAGTAATTCCATTAGTCGCTTTAAGAATTGCATCTCTAATAGATCTGTTGGAGAATTTCACAAATATTTCACCAGGCAGATTGTTTTTCTTGATGTAGTCCGGATATGACCGATATACCACATCTGCTTTGAGATCTACTGCTGGTGCTAACACTTCACTCAAAGTATCCTTGAGATTTTCATCTTTTTGCTCCGGAATCTCAGGATATATAAAGATTTTTCCATTTGGAGTAATAATAGTTGTTATTTCTCATAGTCTTTCACTTTTTCCACTGCCCCCAACCTCTGCTTCAACACTTTTGTCTTATCAACTTTTTTCAACGATTTAGCTGTTTTTTCCACTTTTGCATTGGTTTCTTTCAGCTGTTTTTGGAGAGATTCAAAGTTATTATTGAGCTGAGTCATCTGATCCAGTAGAGAGTGCAGTGCAGTAGCCAACATATTAGGGAAGTCTATGGTTGCTTCTGACTTGGAAGTTGATGCTGCTGAGCTGGCAGTACCAGAAGAAGGTCTCACTTTCGGCGCCATTTTTCAGCCCACTGTAAGATTGTTTACTTTAGGAAGAAGTTCAATAAAATCTCTAAGAGTTTACAAAATCTCCGCTCTATTTGTACTATATAATGCTTTTCAGGGGTCTTGTTGTAGAAAAAGAGCTGCCGGAGCTCATTAGCATAACTCATTTGCATAACTTATTTGCATATGCCACGCCCCCTGACATCACCGGAAGTGACAGAAGGCCACACCCCCTGACATCACCGGAAGTGTGTCAGAAGGCCCGGCTACTTACCCTCCTGCTTCATCCTCATTCCCAAACGGAATGAGGATCGAAGCAGAGGGCGGGGTAAAGAAGGGGGCGGGGCTTCACCACGTGACCGCCCCGCCCCCTAGAGGTTCTCTTCCGGAGCTCCGTACCTGAGAGCTCCCCCCCGACTAGAGCCCTGATGCTTTTTAAACAGCTTCCCACCCTCTACCTCTTAAAATCGCTTTTTTCCCATCCCGGGGTGAGACCAGCTCCACCCCCTCCACTTTTAGCTTTGAGGTTTTGGGGGGAGATCGCCCACTTAAAAGTTTGCCTGATTTAAAGTTGCAAGAACTCACACTTCACCATGAGCTTGCTTGGAGAAGGTAGGAAAGCCTTCAAATGCTAGATCGCTTGTTCGCTCGTCCTGGTGTACGCCTCTGACGCCATTACTGGTCTCACAGTGGTGGGACCTCTTGGAGCAAAGAGGAGCCTCAATCCTTTGGTTTACGCCTCGGGAGTGGCACCTCTCGCACCCCAGGCTACAAGCCCCCTAACAAGGTCTCTGGGGGCACCTGGAATCAGCCGGTCCCCCTCCCGTCCGCTATGATCTGGATGGCGCCCATCAGAGCTTGATAGGACGCATCCGTTCTCGAGTTGCCAAAACTGGAAGTCCATTGCACCTACTTTCTGATGCTCATGTGCTATGATCTGTCATTGTGTGCATTGCTCCATACTGACAAGAATAGGAGCGTCCTAGCTTGTGCCATTCTTATTACATTACATGTATGACTTTGGGGCTGTAATCCAGTGACAGTGGTACACACTGAGAAATATTATCTGCATGTGAAACTGTTAGGGTGAGAATATAGGAGACCCTGCATCCTGTGTATATCCTTGTTATCCTAAAGGAGTTGCCATTGTAGCAGCCAACTGGTCCACATTGGGAGAGGACTCTGAATGAAGCCATCTACAGCATTGATCAGGTTTTAGCCCAGGAGAACACCATGGCAGACTCAGGCCAGACACTCCATCCCTCCTTTTTTACAAGTGTACACTTTGCTGGGAATAGCAGGAGGAAAAAGGCAGCACCAGGTCTGAGCCTAAGACCTTCCTCTTCTCCTCTAATTCCCATTCCCCCAAAGAACTGATAGGGGCTATGAGAATATGAGAATAGAGTTGGTTCCGGGTTCCCAAATGTTTTTTCGGACAGAGCAGGGCATCAAAAAAGGAATGTATGATCTGGGGTAACCCATAGCTTTTGGGGGAGTGTGAGAATGTGTAAAGGCCGGTTCCTTATTCTGGTTGCTCATGTAACTCTGTAGTGAATAAGGACTTGGCAGCTGAGGAGCCAGCTTCATTATGAGAGGCTTCTACTCAGCATCTCTGGTACTTCTGTGAGAACCATTGGTGCAGCAGGTGAATACCACTGGCTGCTACAGGTATGCACATAATCATCTGAATTGAGGCCACAGTATTTTAATTAGGAATCATTCCCATAGAGATTTGCTTTAAATGTGAAAAATCCTGTCTTCTAAAAAGAAAAATCTTCTTTTTTTCAGGACACAAACATTGATCCATTTTCTGCTGCATCACATCAAGTATTTATAAAATTCCATTCTGAGTACGTAACCCTGCCATCGGGATTTCGCCTAACATGGAGCAGCTAAAGCAATTCTCCTACAAAAATAAAATACATTCACTCACAGCACTCTACTGTACTGAAAAGACTCTAGGGTTCATTACAGGAATGTAATGGTGTCCATGATGACACAATAAAATAATTTTTAGGCAATGCAATTGTTGTGTATTGAGTTGTTGCAAATTCCTTTGATCTCTTTGTCTGAAGAAGATATTTGCTGGCATGCACACAATTTTGAAATTGTACTAGAAGAGAGATGAGCACTTTGAAACAAGCTGTTCTCCAAAAATACTCTTCATTACAGACATAAGCAGACTCTGCAAACTGAAAACAAAGATAGCCCGGTACAGATGACCCCCTTTGTGTTGGCTGAATACTCAGGGAAGGAGAGTGGGCAGAAGCACGCTGGCTTCACCCACCCATTTCTATGCAATTGCCAGCTAGTGAGCACAGTGCCTAGACATGGAGGAAGTGTCCACATGTATTCTTCCTCCCCATGATCAGTGATGCTGCTCTTGGAATGTAGCTGACCACAGGGGGGGGGTGCATAAGCCCCAGCACTTCCTCTGTGCATTCACACTGTGCAAAAGACCCAGAATGCATGGGGGGGGGGGCAGGGCCAGTGCACTCATGCCCACTGCTTACACATAGCAGTTCAAGATGAATCAAAGTCTGCTGGACATTAACAAAGCCCAGCAGACTTTGAGTCATGTTATATTACCACATTTTCTGTATTTACCAGCAAAGCTAGTAGATGCTTTCAAAAAATAAACAATTTTTAAAAAAACATCTACTTGCCAGAGTGGTGGGGTGGTTAAGAGCAGCAGACTCCAATTTGTAGAACTGGGTTCGATTCCCCACTCCTCCTCTACGTGGAGCCTGTTGGGTTACCTTAGGCTACTCACAGTTTCTCTCAGAACTCTCTCAGCCCCACCTACCTCACAAGATGCCCGCTGTGGGGAGAGGATAGGAAGGCGATTGTAAGAGACTCCTTTGAGACTCCTTAGGGCAGAGAAAAGTGGGTATAAAAACCAATTCTTCTTAAGAACATAAGAGAAGCCAATGTTGGATCAGGCCAATGGCCCATCCAGTCCAACACTCTGTCACACAGTGGCCAAAAATACCAGGTGCCATCAGGAGGTCCAGCAGTGGGGCCAGGACACTAGGATCTTTCACACTATTGACCCCCTCAGCACCAAAAATACAGAGCATCACTTGCCCCGGAGTCCCTATCTATACCATGTGGCTGATAGCCACCAATGGACCTCTGTTCTTGCTTTGCTGTTGAATACAGAAAATAATGAAACAAATTACTAGCTATTACTCGCACTTGGAGGAAGAATATATTTGTAGCTAAATACAAGAATACTTATATAAAGATCTATACATGTGATCTTGGGATCCTTATACTGATTTAGTATTCTAGGACTTGTAGCTCTCCAGGCTAAACACAGCCCATCACATTTTAGCCTCCCAGGTCCTTGACACCCTCTAACGTTTCAGTCCAAGGCAAGTTTACGGAGCCCTTGAGCAATCATCCCAAACTAGTAAACACAAGGATAGCTTTATCCCTATTTATTAGGGACATTTATTTTATTCTATTTTATTTACTTCCTTTCTAACTAAGATTAAAGGCAGATTACAAAACATAAAAATCAGTTCAAACAAACAGCAAACAATAAACAAGGCAGTAGGATTAGCACTACAGAACTGGAAAACAGTACAAACAAAACAAAGTTTGAGTCTTGTTGCACCTTTAAGACTGACAAAGTTTTATTCAAGGTATACACTTTTGTGTGCATGCACACAAGCAGACAAAGTACTGCCCAGAGCAGTGGAACTCACTCTGCAACTCAGACAGCCGCATTCACAGTTACCATCAACCACTCCTGGTATGAAATCTGCACCTCAGGGAGGCTCACTGTTTACCCATTGCTTCGATGGCAGGTATTTCAAGGTGGAACCCCCTACCAAGCACAAGCCCAACTGTTCAATTGCCTTTCCCACTTTCTATTTAATATGGAACAGGTGCTACATTAGGGAACTATGGTCAGCAGAGCCACATGTGGCTCAAAAGCCACTGAGTGGGCATCAGAGGTTTAAAGCATGACATACCATAATGCAGAAAGTGGGTTACAAAGATAGAAAACAAAGCAGTAAAAGGATTGAACATTGCAATATACCACAATCCTCCAGAGCTGTTCCATTATTGGGGTGTTGACTAATATTGCCATGACAGCAATGGAAACCTTCTTAAGACAAACTCTTCTTGACCAATGAGTTTGGGCTTGAAATGGTCCCTCTTGAACCATGAGATCACCACAACTAGGTTGAGAGTACCAAGTGGTATCTCCAAAATTCCCAGAGGCCTCTATTCCCATTACAAAGGCCTTTTTCTCTCTCTTTTTGTAATGAAGATGGCATCCTGCCCAAAGTAAAACAGCCTTTTTTTTAAATGCAGCCCTGTTGTTTTCTGCATTTTATTGAAACAGTTGCTTTCATGTCTGAGCTACCTGATTATATTGATTGACTGTAAACTGATAAGTGAAAGGTGATTAATACAATTTATACATGAATAAATACAACAGATGTAGCAAATGAGCCTCTCGGAAGCTGCTTTTTATCTTGGCCAGTGTTGCCCGCCAAGTAAAGTGTTGCCCATTCTGCAAGCAGCGTGCAAGCCACTTGTGATGTCACTTCCCATTTGGTAAATGTGCTGGGCAGAATGACAGCTTGCCCAAGAGGCCTCCGCAATGGTGGTTCTGAGCCAGCCCTCACAGGGAGATGGGCTACCAGCTGACCACTGCCTGTCTTTTGAATGCACTGCATGCATCTTCTGGTGCCTTGCTGCTAGAAGCGTTTGCTGCAGAATCACATGTTAGGTAACCTCAAGAAAGATGGAGTGTCGCAAAACTGGCCTGGGGAGAACTGGGGTTCATCCTTTTCTTAGCACCAGCCCAACTAGTGGAACAATTTGCATGAGAATGACATAACTGGATTTATATCGAGGAACTTGCCACAAATATTATTATAACGTGTAAAATATATCATCATTATTATTATCCTCATATTTCATCTGGGACCTGAGGCTCAGTAGTTTGCTTAAAGCCACCAAGTGAATTCATGGCCAAGTGAGAATCAATCCACTGATTTCCTCAAGATTCATACTTCACAGTGAAACCCTATGTAAAGTTACTCCAGTCTGCCCATTCAAGTCAGTGGACTTAAAACTGGAATACCATTGCATAGCAGTGCACAGTCAGGCTTGTGAACATGTTATACCAGATCTATACTGAGGCTGCTATTTACTTATAAATTATCTCAAGCCAGCAACGAGAGGTGGTGCAGTCAAGTCTGCAAAAGATACCACAATATTATGGATGGTGAAAACCCAAAGCAGGGTGTGAAGAGCTCCAAAAAGAATCAATCCTAAACTGGATTCATGGGCCACAAAATGATGCACATCATAGTTTTAAAAAACCCCAAAGCCTAACGCCTTGTGTGTGAGAGAGTGAAAGAAATAAAACCTGACTACAACCAAAAGATATCTTTGGTTTGGAGTTTACCCCTGCAGCGCAGATCCCGCTTTGAGTCCCATCCGCCCAGTTTGCCGAGGTGCCAGAAGGGGTCGTGAGTGACATCACCGAAGTTGCTCAACATCTGGCTACGGGGAAACAACCCCCCCCCCTCCTCCTCCTCCAACATCCACGTCCCCCTCCGGTCCTCAAAAGCCGCCAGTTCCCCACTTGTCCGAAGCTCGCAGCCACTTCCTTTCTACAGCTGCTTGGGCAGCTATACCGCCTCCTCCTCCGGCCCGTATCCATTGGCTACCTATTGACACCCTCCGACCAATACCGCCTGGGCAAGGGTGGAGCTTGCTTGCGGATTGGCTAGCCGCCGGCTGCACATTCCGAGAAGCGGGCGGAGCTGCTGCACCCAAAAGCGATTCGCCTTACTTGGAGCCGAGAGCGCCCGACTGTCCCCTGGCGCCACCTCCTACCCCAGCGGCCGGCCCTGAGGCGCCTGCGCACTTGGAGGAAGCGCCTTCCCCGGGGACCGAGGACTGGGAGGTGGCGCTTTTGGGAGGTGCCCAGAAGTGAGGAGCTCATCTGCCTGTCTGTTTCGCGGAGCCGGCGCCCGGGTCCCTCCAGTCACCGCTGTCGGTGAGTCGCTGCCCTGCTCGGGGAGTGTGAGGTCTTGGGCAGGCAGCTTCGCCCCTCTTCTCCCTGAGTAGCAGGGAAAGTGTCCAGTGCCCGAGGGAGGGGGTTTGCTACCTCCCCTCCGCGAGCGAGAAGTTGGCAGTGCAGTGACACTCGCAGCTTTTTCTTTATTTGTCTCTCGTTGACTTTTGGAAGAGGTCGAGGCTTTGTGCCTTTAAGGCGAGGTGACGGGTGGAGTTTTTCCCTGTGTGCCCCCTGCAGGGGCCACCTGTGGATTTCTGCCTCCACTGATTCTCGTTCAAGAACGGAACTTCTGTCCACGAATCAAACTAGCGCTTGAGTTGCTTCCCGGCTTCCAAGGTTGGGTGGATCATGAGACCTTCAAGCCACAATCCTCACCCGAGCCTTTCGGGGACTCTCTCCTCGTCCCTGGAATGTCAGCCTTTAGGTTAGGCAGGCTGAGCTGAGTTGGTTGCATGCTTTCGCCTGAGCGTGTTCCTCATAATGGAGCGGATGTGATGAAAATGATGATAATGTTCCTAACCCCCTTCTGGTTCTTATTGTGGGTCAAACAATAGGGCATGTTTACATGGGTCTAGTTCCACTGGGAGCTCATCTGTCTGTCTATATTTAGCTACCCCCTACTATTTGATTCTGCAGCCCTGAACTTCAAGCCATGTCTGTGTATACATCTCTTAGAGGCCAGCATAGTTCACACAGCTGACTCTCTGAAGAGAGAGAGAGAGTGTGTGTGTGTGTGTGTGTGTGTGGTCACTGTGAAGTGTAATTTGCTATTTTCCAAGATCCTTTTTGTGCCCCTTCTAGGAACCAGGCAAGGAACACAGGAAGTCACTGCTTGGACATCATCATCTACATCAATATGTCTGATTCCCAACATGGCTCTATCTGTAAATACTTAAGTCCAGAAATTGGAGCCATGCACAGCCAAAACAGATATTCCTACAAACCTGAGGAAAAAGTCAGTTTTACAGAAAAATTAGGGCCAGGGCCAGCAGCAGCAACTGGGTGGCTTGCTGCCGTGCAATTTATGCCACTCTCCCGGGTGCTGCAGTGGCTGCAACTTGATGCCACACAAGCTTTCCTGGGCCCGGCAGCAGCCTCCATGCTACTTGGGCGGGGCCTGGCCCAGCAGTGGCCACCGTATAGCTCACCTGCGTGACTTACCAATGCACAATTGTTGCATGATTTTTGCAACTTGGCCAGACTTTTCAGTCTTGGAGAGGCTGCCAGGGAGAGGCCAAGAGCAAGTGTGGTGTAGTCATTAGAGTGTCAGACAAGAATCTGGGAGACCCAGTTTCAGTCCCCACTCTGCCATGGAGGGTCGCTGGGTGACTTTGGGCCAGTCACTTTCTCTTGGTCTAAGCTGCCTCACAGAGTTGTTGTGAGGGTAAAATGGCAGAAAGGAGAATGAGGTAAGCTGCTTTGGGCAGAAAGGTGGGGTATATGAATGAGGTTACTAAATAATTAAGGAGGCTGAAGGTTGGGTCAGCATTTAGAGAAAGGTTGGTTGGTGAATGGGAAGGAGAGAAGGAAGCAGGGAGAGGATAGGGGAGTTGCCATGAGGAAAGAAAGAAAAAATTAAGTGTCAGGAAGGAGGTATGGGGGGGTAGGAAGTGACCCGGCAAGTTCTTGCAGGTTTCCCAGTCCACTTGTACCTGTTGACCTAAATTCTGATCTTGGATTGTAACAATAAACAACTACTAAATATTATTTAGACTAAAATTTGTTAGACTAAAATTTGGGAGATCCAGGTTTGAATCCCCACTCTGCCATGGATGTTCTCTGCCATGGGCCAGTTACACACTCTCAGCCTAATCTACCTCGTAGGGTTGTTGTGAGGATAAAATGGAGGAGAAGAGAATGATGTAAGGCACTTTGAGTCACCATGGGGGAGAAAGGCGAGGTATAAATGAAGCAGATAATTAAACAAAGCAAAATGAACGATTACCCATTTGGAGGACTCGAGCCATTCAGCACTCACCGAACTGACTGAGGACCGAAGGCTGTGAAACGGAAGGCTTTACATCCCAAGAGGATGCCGTGGTCGTGGAAACGGAGGAGGCGTTTGTGCTGGGAGAACCCTGTGAAGTGAACTGACCCAAAGACGAGGAGGACTTCAGCTGGTCTAGGAACTGAGACCCAGCAGGGGTGGCCAGTTTTGAAGAGCCAAACTCTCCGAACCCGGAACACAGGACCGAAGACTGCGGAAGGGCGGGCGAGGAAAAAGGAGGCGACGTTTCGGTGAATCATAAAGACTGAGGAAATCTTACAGTAGTTCATGATAAGAACAAATATTTGGTAATCACGCCAGCTGTTTTATGCATTAAATCGGAACAGTGACAAATTTCAGCAAGAAGCCGTAAATGCTGAAGACTCATAATCAATGTTCCCTCTAAGCTGCGGAGTCCTGTGAGCAGAAATTCTACTTTGTCAGGTCCTAGCATTAAAGCGGTGAGCGAGCCATTTGGCTGGGAGAAAGGCGAGGTATAAATGAAGTAAGTAAATAAATTTTGTCAGCAGTGTAGCCTTCCTATTCTACATCATGCTGTGTTGTTGTATTATGGGTGCTCCTATGACCTACAGGCAGGGGTCATTTTGTAGAAAAAGAGGTGCAGAAGCTCATTAGCATAACTCATTAGCATAACTTATTTGCATATGCCACACACCCTGACATCACTGGAAGTGTGTCAGAAGGCAACACCCACTGCTCAGGCTCAACTGGACTGTTTTGGATTGCTAGCTATTGGGGGGGGGACACACACAGATCTGCCCTCACAGAGGAGGGAGAGCTTGTACCTGAACGCGTTTTGGGGGGGGGGCTCTGCAACTTACCTGGCTGCTTCTTGCTCCTCGTGTTGGTTCCAGTAAGATTCCTTGGGACTAGCTTGGTGCAGCAAAATCTGAACACATTTTAAGCTGGGAGCTGTGATGTTCTGTGAGATTTTTGACTTTTAACAGATAGCTGTGCATTTTTCTTTTCACTAAAGGAGACCTATGATTCCATGTGAGTTTGAGACTCTCACATTGTCTTGTTCATATGATTAGATTGCTCATGTGGCAGTTCAGCCAATGCAGCTGACTAAACAAGTTGACTGTCTTTTGCCATTTTATCTCTCTCCTCCTGGTTTGCAATTAATGTGTGTAGTATCAAGTGCTTGTTTATTTGTTTCAATTTAGATCATGTCCAAGTCATTGAAGAAAATTGTGGAGGAGAGTAGGGAGAAGAACATCTTGGAGGTGGACATGTGTGAGCGAAACGTCTCTAACATGGTGGACATACCTGGCTTGTGTAAGCATTTCTGTTACTCTCAGCCATTATGATACTACTGTTGTTTCTTCAAGCACAAGGTCCCCCCCCCCCCCCGGTAGGCTACGTTTTTCAAATCACATCATCTAAATGTGTTTTGAGTCTTGACACATTATATCGGATGTGAGAAGAATTTTTGAAACACAGTTTGTATTTCATCCTGGATACACTAGATCAGTGGTGGCGAACCTATGGCACGAGTGTCAGAGGTGGCACTCATAGGCCTCTCTGTGGGCACGCTTGCCATCGCCCCAGCCAGGCCCAGACCATCATTAAAGTGTTTAATTATCTGCCAAATAATTTTAAGTAAATGAAAGCATTTGGGATTGCTTTCCTTACTTCGTTTGGATCATCTTAAGTTAATGTATGAGTTGTTTTTTCTAAAGTAAAACCTCAGTATTCAGGTCAAATTGCCGTGTTGGCACTTTGCGATAAATAAGTGGGTTTTGGGTCACAGTTTGGGCACTCGGTCTCTAAAAGGTTTGCCATCACTGCACTAGATCATAAAAGCTGCTTTAGTTTAGTGGCTAAGAGTATGAGATGGAAAGTACTTGGTTCAAATTCCGCCTTAGCCCTGAACTCTGTTGGGTTTTTAGGCAAATTCCTCTCATCCTCGGTCCCCTATGTTAGGGGAAGTAATGCATGAAAAGCACTTGGAACATTCTAAAAACACTATTTAAAAGGGAAGTATTGTTGTTGTTAGGTTTATTCCTTCCTGATAAGTTACCTACCACGCGTCAATGTCCTGGCGACGGCGGTGCAACGCGTCTCGCCGTCCCTGCGGCACGGATTCTGCAAAGACATGTGGATCCCCCACCATGATTTGGCGAGATTTGGGAGCCCTATGGGGGAGTAACATGCTGAAGTTCTCTGCTGTAACTAGGATCTGGGGGAGACAGTTCAAATCCCCACTCATGCCGTGGAAGCTTGCTGGATAACCTTGGGCCAGTCACAATCTCTCAGCTTAACATACCTTACAGGGTTGTTTTGAGGATAAAAGGGAGGAGAGGAGAATGATGTAAGCTGCTTTGGGCCCCCACTGGGGAGAAAGGTCACATATAAATTAATTAAATTAAAAATTTAAAATAAATATTACAATGCTTGGCCATGGTGGCTTTCCCATTTACAGCAGCTTGTGGCTATTCCCTGGACTGGCAGGCCAGATGGTTTATGTAAAGGTTTTACTTTTACATTAAGATTGCTTTGAATACCCTGGAAAGCCCTATATGTGACTTACTGTCATTATTATTTTGGCTTTTCCTTACTATGTCCATTGATAACTTAATGACATCTTTTTATTCTTCAAAGCCTCATTGAGTTCAGGTACCACCTCAATCTGGTTCTCTCCCTGATATAGAGTTAGAAGGAATAACAAGGCTTCTCCAAACATAATTCCCTTGCGGCATCAAAATGATGCTCTGGCATAATAAGAGCTACGTAGTGTAGACCTGTTGTGTTTCTGTCTTCTTTGCCACCATTAGAATCACATGTCTAATAACTATTTCATAAGAGTTCTCCATATCTGTGGTAGGGTTTGAGGCTAAAGCTGTATGATCTTGTGAGATCTTGTGCTGACCTAGATGGGCCAGGCTAGCCTGATCATGTCAGCTCTCAGAAGCTAAGCAACATCAGCCCTGGTTGGTGTTTGGGTGGAAGTCCACCATGGAATACCAGAACGTGCAGAGAACGGCAATGCAAACCACCTCTTGTTAGTCTCTTGTCTTGAAAACTCTATGGGGGTCACTATAAGTCAACTGCAGTTTAATGGTACTTTACACACACACAGAGCCCATAGTAAAGCTGCAAAGATGTTGTGGAAACCTGAGGCAAAATTACTTATTGAGCTTTTGGTGGTCATGCTACCTACAGAGTGAATGAGGGCTGCTTATAGCATTGAACTTTTGGGACGTGGATGTGTAAAAACATGTTCATGTTTCATAAGGTCAACACTGCTCTTATCCATTCTATTTATGTGTGTCATAAGAACTGGGTCTGTGACTTTATGTTCTGAAGTAATGCTTGATACTTCTATGCAAGGTTCAGTTGTACACAATATGAGCATTGACATTTAGTGCCTTTTGACCCCAATTTACAGGGTTTTCCCCCAGTGTTCCTACACATCTGCCGATAGAAAACTTGCATCTGATGAAATGGGCTGTAGCCCTCATATGACTCCTTTAGTAAGGTGCCACAAGACTCCTTATAGTTCAGAAAGCACTTTGAGGGACCAAAGGGCAGTTAAACCAACGTCTTGCTTTTATAAACATTTCATTCAAGACCAAATCAGACATGACACTGGGAGCTGAGTGAATGGAGCTCCTGGGATGTATGTTTCTTTGAATAGTAGGCATATGCTAGCCTGATCTGTATTACAGAGCAAGGAAGGGGGAATATAAGGCTCTACTTTCTCACACTACTTTCCTGAACAGAAACACCCGCACATTATTGCTATTTGCCCTGGGCAATGTACACTGAGAACTCCATTCATGGAACTCCTAGAGTCACATCTAGTTTGACCGTGGTTTTTATAAGAAAATATAAAAACTTTTCTCAGTCTTCTCCAAAGTTCCAGCTTCCATTAGGTAAGCTGGGGGGGATGGCCTTGTGACAACCTCTCCTCCACCATCCTCTTAATTGTTTTGTTATCCTTTTGAGTTTTCATATTTCTAATTCTGCTTCTTACACAAAAAAGTTACACCAAACACACTTGCTGGTGTAACTATTGCTCCCTTGTGAAAGAAGTAAAATGTGAACTTCCACTCGTTAGTGGAAGGATAATTTATTTGTAAATAAAACTTTGCCTGGTGCACTGCAACTTAAATAGTTGCAAAGTTTCCTATTTCAAAGAAGTGTTTTCAGAGGCCAGAATGACATTTTATGTCAAATACATGGCGGATGTTGAGATCAATGGCCCCCTGTCCTCTAGGACAATTTATCCATGCTCTGGTATCATGGCATCATGGCATGTATGCCCATGCCATTGCCATGACATCAGGGCACAGGTAAGTTTCAGAGAGGGAAAGGTAGAGCTTCCATGCCTTTGTTTTCCAATGCAACTTCAAGTTTACTGTAATATGTAGATCTGGCTTTATTGTTCCTACAGAAACAGTTCTCCCCAAGTTTTTTGGGTTTGAACCAGAACTCTGAGGAAGGACTGGGTCAGAGGCAGAAGTTTATCATGTATTGATAGTAGGGTTGCCAAGTCCGACTTACCTTGCCGGCGGGGGACTCTGGGGTGGCTCCCGGCGCACCGCATGCACGTCACAGGGAAGTGATGTCATGACGCCGGGCACACTGGGGGCGGGGCCATGACCATACAAGGGAAAACCATAGAGTTTTCCCTTGTATGGCCGTGGCCCCGCCCCCAGCGTGCCCGGCGTCATAACGTCACTTCCCTGTGACGTGTACGCTGGGGCGGGGTCCCTCGATTCCCCGGCGTCGGGGAACGGGCCTCTGGGGCGGGGGGATTTCCGCCCCCCAGGGGGACTTGGCAGCCCTAATTGATAGTATCCAAATTAAACAAAAACACTTCAAGGGGAAAGTATATGAATTGCTGCTTCCCATATTACACCTGGTATTTGCAGTGTTTTTTGTTTTTGTTTTTTTTTAAATCTGGAACAAAACAAAGTATTCGATGCCACTTGTGAAGGTAACCCAGGAGTTCTGATTGTAACCAAAGCATTAGATAATTTCACAGTGCCACGGACTCTGTTATATTTTGAGGGCAATTTTAATTCATGATCAACCTTGTTTTTGGAGTTTCAATGTTCACAAAGAAAGCAACATATCTGTTCTCTACTGAAGCCACTAGTGGAAGAGCATGGTAATGCAGGAAGGCAGGATCTCTTTTACTATTTAGAACTCTTTTCCAAATAAAAAGCAGTGGTTTTTCCAAGGGCAGGAGCATGTCTGTTCCTTTGTAAGTACAACTTCCTGTTCTGAAAAACTCTTATTTCTGTTGCCAAGGATTAAAGGACTGGGGAAAGTTCAGATCAGCTGAGACCTTTCCCCAATCTTCTTTATGTAATATCTTCTCTGAACTGAACATAAATTAGTAATGGTTTTGCTGGCAGTAAAGAAATCTGGAGCAATGATGTCTCTCTTCTGTGGATTAGCGACCTATCCTCTGAATCTTCAGAGAGAGTCAGACTCTCAGTCTATGCTAATTATCTCATAATTAATTCAGGTTGCTGGTAACAGGCTTTCTTTTTCATGATGTGACATTATTTGAGCAGTAACACCTGTCTCAAGAGTTCTCTTTGTTTGAAGCATTAAATTATCCAATCAGAAATTATCATATTGCTTAATAATGTCAAAGATATTTAAGTTATTTATTGGTTTCTAGAAAGGCAGCTTATTAGGCAGATGCCACACTTCAGTTCCCATTGTGGCATTTGGTTAATTAGACAGTAGTACTTGCTAATGTGTAAGGCACATGGGGAGAGAGTTAACTCTTGTTGGCCTGAAGAAAATTCGCATTGTCAAAAGTGTCACATCTGTCACCTGAGTGTTTTTAGAAACTCATGAGTCAAATTATACAACAGATCTCTGTGTTTGTTCCTTAGAAGGGTGGCAATTAAAATTATGAGTTTTTAAAGTATAATTGTTGCTTAAATATTAAAAACTACTTTTGAAGCTAAAATTTGATTCAAGCCTTAGTGAATTTTGCTTTGTTGGATTTCATTTTACTTCATGCTCTTCAGCAATCTAATCTTAGCATGTTTATGGTCCATGCTTCATACTTTTAAGTTGTAGGGTTTTTTCCTTAATCAGTGCTGCATTTGTGCAAATTTGAGGGCACACCATGCATTGGTCAGAGTTAAAATGCTTTGTAGCGTAGAACCCCGAATTGGGACCTGGGATTATGAAAGAGTCAAATTCAGTTTCTGATAGAAGAAATTAGCATGTGAAATTAGCAAAGTGCAGTGTGGTAGAGAAATTGACCATTTCTGAAGTAAAAAAAAAATTATCCTGATATTGGA